GTACACGCAACAACCCACGGCAGATTTGTCGGTATAGGCTGAGGCCCGTGGGGCCGTAGCTGGGGTGGTGCTGTTTATTTTCTTTTGGTCCATCGGAGGATCACGCCGTGTCGCCGATGCATCGCCGATGCGGGGACTCGGCCCACTTTGGGCGGCCTCTCCAGCTGCGCGGCGGGCAGGGGGGGGGGCGCGTTCGTGGTCGCAGCGGAGACGTGTGTCAATGGCCGTTGTCCCCCCTTTTGTGAACGTTTTCTTTTTCGACGCTTCGACGTGGGGGCGAAAAGCCATCGAGAGCCAAAGAACCCCTAATCCTCAGAACACGAGGAAGACGCGGCCTCACTTATGTCCCCGTCATCGCATCAGGGATAATAGTAATGGGCGGCTCGGTCTGGTATAATGCATTAGAGACCCCCGAATACTAATCTGTTTGGTCCTCCTAACCTAGGCCCCCTCCTAAAAGGGGTAGGGATTGTTTTTCCCAGCCCTCATTGGTTGGGTATTCGTTTGAAGTAGAGGGGTGTGGTCGTATCATCCTCGTCCCGCCTCCCGCCTCCTCCTGCCGTGTCTTCGCCGACGATGGGGGCTGCGATCTGCTAAACTGTCGCCTCTTTCGAGGGCCGCTTGTGGGTCCAGCGGAGTGAGGCACCGCGCAGATCTGAGCAACACCTCGCCGTGCCTGGGGGGTTGCGATCTGCGAAACTGTCGCCACTTTCGAGGGCTGCTGGTGGGTCCAGCGGAGTGAGGCACCGCGCAGATCTGAGCAACACCTCGCCGTGCCTGGGGGGCTGCGATTTGCGAAACTGTCGCCACTTTCGAGGGCTGCTGGGGGGTCCAGCGGAGTGAGGCACCGCGCAGATCTGAGCAACACCTCGCCGTGCCTGGGGGGATGCGATCTACGGGACTGTCGCTACTTTCGATGGCTGCCGGTGGGTCCAGCGGAGTGAGGCACCGCGCAGATCTGAGCAAGACCTCGCCATGCCTGGGGGGGCTGCGATCTGCGAAACTTTCGCCACTTTCGAGGGCTGCTGGTGGGTCCAGCGGAGTGAGGCACCGCGCAAATCTGAACAAAACCTCGCCGTGCTTGGGGGGCTGCGATTTGCGAAACTGCCGCCACTTTCGAGGGCTGCTTGGGGGGCCAGCATAGCGACCTGCGGAACTGTCGCCACTTTCGAAGGGGGACCAGTCTTGGAACTTTTTGGGGGCCTCTGGGGGGCCTCTTGGGAGCCTCCTCTTGGGAGCCTCCTCTTGGGGCCTCTTGGGGTTATCTTGGGGGCCTCTTGGGGCCTCCTGGGGGGTCCTCCGCTGGGCCTCCCAGGAGCCCACGACAGTGGCGACAGTTGCGCCGATCGCAAGCCCCCCAGGGGGCGGCGAGTTATCGAGGTGATCCGCGTGGGACCCACCTCCGCTGGGCCTCCCAGGAGCCCACAAAAGTGGCGACAGTTGCACAGATCGCAGGCCCCCCAGGGGCCGTGGGACCCACCTCCGCTGGGCCTCCCAGGAGGGCGACAGTTGCGCAGATCGCAAGTCCCCCAGGCAGGGGGCGGCGAGGTACCGAGGTGATCCGCGCGGGACCCACCTCCGCTGGGCATCCCAGGAGCCCACGAAAGTGGCGACAATTGCTCAGATCGCAAGTCCCCCAGGGGGCGGCGAGGTACCGAGGTGATCCGCGTGGGACCCACCTCCGCTGGGCCTCCCAGGAGCCCACAGAAGTGACGACAGTTGCGCAGATCGCAAGCCCCCCAGAGGGCGGCGAGTTATGGAGGTGATCCGCGTGGGACCCACCTCCGCTGGGCCTCCCAGGAGCCCACGAAAGTGGCGACAGTTGCACAGATCGCAAGCCCCCAAGGGGGCGGCGAGGTACCGAGGTGATCCGCGTAGAGCCCACCTCCGCTGGGCCTCCCAGGAGCCCACGAAAGTGGCGACAGTTGCACAGATCACAAGCCCCCCAGGGGGCGGCGAGGTACCGAGGTGATCCGCGTGGGACCCACCTCCGCTGGGCCTCCCAGGAGCCCGCGAAAGTGGCGACAGTTGCGCCGATCGCAGCCCCCCAGGGGGGCGGCGAGGTCCCGTGGTAATCCGCGTATGACGTACCTCCTTTGGGCCTCCCAGGAGCCCACGAAAGTGGCGACAGTTGCGCAGATCGCAAGCCCCCATGAGCGGCGAGGTACCGTGGTGATGCGCGTATGACCTACCTCCGATGAGCTTCCCAGGAGCCCCACGAAAGTGGCGACAGTTTCGCAGAACCCAGCCAGCCAGGGGCGGCGAGGTCCCGCGGTGATCCGCGTATGACGTACCTCCGCTGGGCCTGCCAGGAGCCCACGAAAGTGGCGACAGTTGCGCAGATCGCAGGCCCCCCAGGTGCCGTGGGACGTACCTCCGCTGGGCCTCCCAGGAGGGCGACAGTTGCGCAGATCGCAAGTCCCCCAGGCAGGGGGCGGCGAAGTACCGAGAGACGTACCTCCGCTGGCCCTCCCAGGAGCCCACGAAAATTGTGACAATTGCGCAGATCGCAAGCCCCCCAAGGGGGCGGCGAGGTACCGAGGTGATCCGCGTGGGACCCACCTCCGCTGAGCCTCCCAGGAGCCCACGAAAGTGGCGACGGTTGCGCAGATTGCAAGTCCCCCAGGGGACGGTGAGGTATCGAGGTGATCTGCGTGGGACCCACTTCCGCTGGGCCTCCCAGGAGCCTACGGAAGTGGCGACAGTTGCGCAGATTGCAAGCCCCCCAGGGGTCGGCGAGGTCCCGTGGTGATCCGCGTGGGACCCACCTCCGCTGGGCTTCCCAGGAGCCCACGAAAGTGGCGACAATTACGCAGATCGTAAGCCCCCCAGAGGGCGGCGAGGTACCGAGGTGATCCGCGCGGGACCCCCCTCCGCTGGGCCTCGCGAGCCCACGACAGTGGCGACAGTTGCGCCGATCGCAAGTCCCCCAGGCAGGGGGCGGCGAGGTGTCGAGGTGATCCGCGTGGGACCCACCTCCGCTGGGCCTCCCAGGAGCCCACGAAAGTGGCGACAGTTGCGCCGATCGCAAGCCCCCCAGGGGGCGGCGAGGTACCGAGGTGATCCGCGTGGGACTCACCTCCGCTGGGCCTCCCAGGAGCCCACGAAGTGGCGACAGTTGCGCCGATCGCAAGCCCCCAGGAGCGGCGAGGTACCGAGGTGATCCGCGTAGGACCTACCTCCGCTGGCGACGGTTGCGCAGATGGCAAGCCCCTCAGGGTGCGGCGAGGTACCGAGGTAACCCGTGTGGGACCCACCTCCGCTGGGTCCCCAGGAGCCCACGAAAGTGGCGATAGTTGCGCAGATCGCAAGTCCCCCAGGGGGCGGCGAGGTACGGAGGTGATCCTCGTGGGACCCACCTCCGCTGGGCCTCCCAGGAGCCCACGAAAATGGCGACAGTTGCGCAGATCGCAGCCCGACTGCACGAGGGAAGAGGAGAAGGGAACACCGGAAACATGAGAGACGGAGGAGGGGAGGAGAGGGGGAAGGAAGGAAGTACGGGGCGGCCACACTGCTCTACTCAGACCGAGTACCCAACACAGGCCGCGCCCAAAACGGGGACGAGGAACATGGAATTCGCGCCTTTTGGCCCAAGAGACCCCCAGGAGACCCCAAGAGGCTCCAAGAAGCGCCCTAGAAGCCCCAAGAGGTCCCCAAGAGACCAGAAAAAACACCAAGAGAGGCCCCGAAGACGCCCCAAGGGGCACCCCAATAGAGCCCCAAATAAGCAAGCATCGACGATTTCCTATGGGAAAACTGATATTTTGGGCGTGTTCGCCTTTGGGGCTTCCACTGCGTCCAAAACGGCCCAAGAGGCACCCAAGACGGTCGACGGCCCCCGAGGCACCCAAACCGCCCAAAAACGCCCCAAGGCGGCGCCCAAGACGGGGACGAGGAACCGGAAATGTTGGCTTACGGCCCAAGAGACCCCCAGGAGACCCCAAGAGGCTCCAAGAAGGGGCCCAGAAGCTCCAAGACGCCCCCACGAAAGCCGAAAAACACCAAAAGAGGCTCCGAACACGCCCCAAGAGGCACCCCAATAGAGCCCCAAGCAAAACGGCCCAAGAGGCACCCAAGCCGGTCGAGGATATCCCCGACGCGCCGAAATCGCCCAAGAACGCCCTGAGTCGGCGCCCATGACGGGGACGAGGAACGGAAGATTTGAGAGTTTTGGCCCAAGAGGCCCCCAGGAGACCCCAAGAGGCTCCAAGAGACAGCCAGGAAACTCCACCCGAGAGACCCGAAAAAACACCAAAAGAGGCCCGAAACAGCCCCCCACGGGGCCCCCAGAACGGCCCAAGAGAGCCCCAGGGCGTGCCCAAGAGGGTCGACCAGAGCTGGTCCGACTTTCCACAATCTACATAGGGTCCGTCCCCGGCGGTGCCTCAAGCAGGTGTTGCCACTGGTGTCCTCACTTGCCTGAGACAAACTCCAAACATTTTTTCGCACAGCGATTCCTGTGTCTGAGACACGCTAGAACCTAAGCGCGCGCGAAGCGCCCCCCTGCCCCGGGTCCCACACCTCCCCGCCACATCTCGGGGACGCTCCCGGTTCCGCTGCCCGAGCCTTTCCAGGGAGCCTCCACAGCATTCCAGGAGTGCCCAAGACGCCCCCCAAGAGCCCCCAGAATGCGAAAGGATGGCCCAAGACGCTCCCAAGCAGCCCAAGTCAGCCTTCCGACTGCTCTCGAGGCTCCCAGGTGGCCTCCAAGAGACCCCAAGAGAGGTGTGATAGGTGTCACGGGACAGCCCGAAGAGGCCCAAATCGTAGATTTCCTATAGGGGAACTGATGTTTTTGGCGTGTTCGCCTTTTGGGCTTCCTCTGCGTCCAAGACGGCCCAAGAGGCACCCAAGACGGTCGAGGATGCCCCCAAGAGGGCTCCAAGACGGCCCACGAGGGGGCCAAGGCGGCGCCCAAGACAGGTTTCCGTAGCCATTTTGGCTCAAGCCATATCTCAAGGTACTTTGTCTCGCTCCAGTTAAAGTAGATCTTAACAAATATGCCTGCTGGCCCTGCATCTAATGTTTTCCGTTGTTCAATCCTCCTTACGTTCCTTTTCAGTTGGGCAGCAAGCCTCCTCCTTCCTGAGATACCAGCAGATGTACGGATGACTACTTTCGAAAAGAACCGGCCATTCCCGGACAGAGAGTGCAACTCGACAGGATGGAGCTCTCTCCATCATGGAGCTTTGGCCCATCAGTATTCGGAAATGCTTGTGCGGATGCAGGGCAAGCGCGTCTTGTTTGGCGGCGATTCGCTCATGGACATGGTGTACCATCCCTTTATATGCAGCGCCGCTGCATTTGGTTGGAGCATATCCGATGTGCCTGTTGGCCTATGGGGAAGCCGGGCGGACGAGTCTGCTGGTACCCAAGCAAAAATGTTCACGAAGGAGAACCATAAGCCCATTGTAGTTGCTTACATGCGATTCTATAACTATCATGTCGGCATGGACAACATTAAGCCTGTTGACGTGTTCCGATTTCCGCTGAAGCCCCCGAATTTCGACGTCGTTTTCCTCAACATGGCTCACAACGCGATGTTCACACGTAGTCCCAAACTGGTCCAGGACCTGACGAACGAGTTAATCCGTCATGCGAACGAGGCCACACATATCGGCCGCGTGGTGTTCTTAGGCCACCCCCCGCAGCACTTCAAGACCGAGACTGGGGAGTACAATGGCCCAGAGACTGGGGACTGCGCGTGCCACAACAGGGCTGCGCTGGAGCGGCAGCAAATTTTCCAGCACAACTCTCTTGTGGAGGCTGAGGTTGCCAAGGACAACGAGCGCTCTGACGGGAAGTGTGCTTTTGCTAACCCGTGGAGTTATTACGCAGATTTGTGCGGACTTCACGGTCATTTGCAAGGACAAGGATGGGGATCGGGCGATATAGATTGCACACATTTTCCAGAAGATGCTGTCGCAAAGCACGCCCCATTCTTGGAGGATCTTCTTGCCACGGCGGGCGTTTGATGGTCGCCGAACGTAGATGGACGTAGGCCCGTCGGAGGCGGAGTGTCTTGTTTAGCACGAGTATTCAAAGCTAAGCTCTCCTGCCCTGTCTGTGCACAGTCATTGAGGATTGCTCAATGCTGACTCGCATTTTGAAGGACCCGTAAATCGCAGAACAAGCACCCAACAAGGCTTTCAGAAGAGCGCAGCAAGAAGTCCCGTGATGATCCGCGTATGACGTACCTCCGCTGGGCCTCCCAGGAGCCCGCGAAAGTGGCGACAGTTGCGCAGATCGCAAGCCCCCATGGGCGGCAAGGTACCGAGGTGATCCGCGTGGGACCCACTTCCGCTGGGCCTCCCAGGAGCCCACGAAAGTGGCGACAGTTGCGCAGATTGCAAGCCTTCCAGGGGGCGGCGAGGTCCCGTGGCGATCCGCGTGGGACCCACCTCCACTGGGCCTCCCACGAACCCACGAAAGTGGCGACAGTTGCGCAGATCGCAGCCCCCCAGGGGCGGCGAGGTCCCGTGGTGATCCGCGTATGACGTACCTCCGTTGGGTCTCCCAGGAGCCCACGAAAGTGGCGACAATTGCGCAGATCGCAAGCCCCCCAGAGGGCGGCGAGGTACCGAGGTGATCCGCGTATGACGTTCTTCCGCTGGGCCTCCCAGGCGCCCACGAAAGTGGCGACAGTTGCGCAGATCGCAAGCCCCCAGGGGGCGGCGAGGTACCGAGGTGATCCGCGTGGGACCCACCTCCGCTGGGCCTCCCAGGAGCCCACGAAAGTGGCGACAGTTGCGAAGATGGCAGCTTTTTTCCCCCCAGGGGGCGCCGACCAGTACCGAGGATCGATTCCGCGTTGGACGTACCCTCCAGCGGGTCTCCCCGGAGGACACGAAAAGTCGGGGCGAACAGTTGCGCAGCCTAGAGGCCCCAAAAGGGCGGCGAGGTACCGAGGTGATCCGCGAGGGACCCACCTCCGCTGGGCCTCCCAGGAGCCCACGAAAGTGGCGACGGTTGCGCAGATCGCAAGCCCCCCAAGGGGCGGCGAGGTCCCGGCGAGGTACCGAGGCGATCCGCGTGGGACCCACCTCCCGTGGGCCTCCGAGGAGCCAACGAAAGTGGCGACAGTTGCGCAGATTGCAAGCCCCCCAGGGGGCGGCGAGGTACCGAGGTGATCCGCGTAGGACCCACCTCCGCTGGACCTCCCAGGAGCCCACGAAAGTGGCGACAGTTGCGCAGATCGCAAGCCCCCCAGGAGCGGCGAGGTACCGAGGTGATCCGCGTATGACGTACTTCCGCTGGGCCTCCCAGGAGCCCACGAAAGTGGCGGCAGTTGCGCAGATCGCAAGCCCCCCAGAGGGCGGCGAGGTACCGAGGTGATCCGCGTGGGACCCACCTCCGCTGGGCCTCCCAGGAGCCCACGAAAGTGGCGACAGTTGCGCAGATCGCAAGCCCCCCAGAGGGCGGCGAGGTACGAGGTGATCCGCGTATGGACGTACCTCCGCTGGCCTCCCAGGAGCCCACGAAAGTGGCGACAGTTGCGCAGATCGACAAGTCGCAAGTCCCCCAGGCAGGGGGCGGCGAGGTACCGAGGTGATCCGCGTGGGACCCACCTCCGTTGAGCCTCCCAGGAGCCCACGAAAGTGGCGACAGTTGCGCAGATTGCAAGCCTCCCAGAGGCGGCGAGGTACCGAGGTGATCCGCGTGGGACCCACCTCCGCTGGGCCTCCCAGGAGCCCACGAAAGTGGCGACCATACCATTGCGCAGATCGCAAGCCCCCAGGGGGCGGCGAGGTACCGAGGTGATCCGCGTAGGACCCACCTCCGCTGGGCCTCCCAGGAGCCCACGAAAGTGGCGACAGTTGCGCCGATCGCAAGCCCCCCAGGGGGCGGCGAGGTACCGAGGCGATCCGCGTGGGACCCACCTCCGCTGGGCCTCCCAGGAGCCCACGAAAGTGGCGACAGTTGCGCAGATCGCAAGTCCCCCGGGCAGGGGTCGGCGAGGTACCGAGGTGATCCGCGTGGGACCCACCTCCGCTGGGCCTCCCAGGAGCCCACGAAAGTGGCGACAGTTGCGCAGATTGCAGCCCGACTGCACGAGGAAAGAGGAGAAGGGAACACCGGAAACATGAGAGAAGGAGGAGGGGAGGAGGGGAGGAAAAGGAAGGAAGGAAGGAAGGAAGGACGGGGCGGCCACATTGCTCTTCTCAAAACGAGTGACCAACACAGGAGGGTTGGGGAAAAAAAGGCCGCGCCCAAGACGGGGACGAGGAACCGGAAATTCGCGCCTTTTGGCCCAAGAGACCCCCAGGAGACCCCAAGAGGCTCCAAGAAGCGCCCAAGAAGCCCCAAGAGGTCCCCTAAGGCAGCCGAGAAAACACCAAGAGAGGCCCCGAAGACGCCCCAAGGGGCACCCCAATAGAGCCCCAAATAAGCAAGCATCGACGATTTCCTATGGGAAAACTGATATTTTGGGCGTGTTCGCCTTTGGGGCTTCCACTGCGTCCAAAACGGCCCAAGAGGCACCCAAGACGGTCGAGGATGCCCCCAAGAGGGCTCCAAGACGGCCCACGAGGGGGCCAAGACGGCCCACGAGGCGCCCAAACCGCCCCAAAACGCCCCGAAGCGGCGCCCAAGACGGGGACGAGGAACTGGAAATTTTGGCTTTTGGCCCAAGAGACCCTCAGGAGACCCCAAGAGGCTCCAAGAAGGGGCCCAGAAGCTCCAAGACGCCCCCCTGAGACCCGACACAAAACCTGGCGCTTGCACTTGCCTCGCACGGCCATGGGGGTGGGGAGGAGGAAGCCTCCCCCAGGAGCGGAGGGTGCGGACCCGACCCGTCTGCCCCGCAGCGCGCGGCCTCTCCGAGGCCAAGCGGGCAGACTCCGGTCGGGCCCGCGGGGGGGCCCCGCCCCCTTCCCACCCCCAGGGCGGGTTGGGCGGGCCAACGACAGCACGTGGTCACTATGGACCTGACGAGGGGGCCCCATTGGGCAAGTGCACGCAGCAGGCCGCTATGGGCCGCAACGAATCCATTATGGGCCGAACGAAGCCATTATAGGCCGAACAAAGCCCCAGCGGGCGGAGGGCCGAAGCCCGACACACGGCACGGTATTTATATCCCGCCCCAGTACCAGGCGGAGGAAGCACGGCACGGCACCGCACCACATGACGCGAGCAGGAGGCGGAAGCGGGTCGGCCAGCGCGCGGCCGACCAGCCGAGCGAGGGCGCCCCCGCGGTCAGCCGCCGGGTCGTTACCAGCGCGGGCGGATTTGTGTCAAGCACTAACTCCGTTATTCCCCCCACAAATCCTGGCGCTTGCACTCGCATCGCACGGCCTTGGGGGGGGGGGAAGCCTCCCCCGGGAGCGGAGGGTGCGGACCCGACCCATCTGCCCCGCAGCGCGCGGCCTCTCCGAAGCCAAGCGGGCAGACGCCGGTCGGGCCCGTGGGGGGGCACCACCCACTGCAACGGCGCTCCCGCGGGCCACGCCCGGCGCTGCCACCCACTGCCCCCGCGTGCCATGGTGCGCCCACGTGTGTGCCGTGCAGACACGACCACCAGACTGCGTGGGATGCTCAGCCATGGCCATCGTCGCTGGACGACTCTGCCAGGGGGGCTTCGACGACCGATTGTCGCTCGAACCGGGAAACGTTAAGGCATTTCATCCACGCGGGCTGATGCCAGCCGCCCGCGCGAAGAATGTCGGTGACCGGTCCGCCCCTGGCAGCAATATTCTGCGCGCGCCCGCGCCTGAACGCGCGAGTGCCGAATGACTCCGCGTCATGGCGCCCCACTTCGCCCAGCGCGCGGCGCAGCCGAGCACGTGCCGCGCCCGGGGACTACGCAGCCCAGATGGGCTGGTGAGCTGGCTCGCCAATTACCCAGGTCCCAAGAACGCGTGCGGAACAGGTGGCCGCGCACTCATCGCACCAGCACTGCCGTTGCCAACGCCGAGCGGCTCTCGCGGTTCTTTCTTCTGGAGAGGTGCAGCTCGATCACTTGATCGCCGACGACGAACGCGGAAGCCACGCAAGCTGCGGCCGCGACATTTTCAACCCGCACCGCGGACAGGGCCTCCGAAGATAGCCGAAGGAGGAATGCGTAAACCGCCAGGCACAACATGGCGAAACGGCGACCCTCGTCACTGACGCGCAGGTGCGACACCGGGCGGGCGACGTCGCGGCCCTGAAGGGCCATGCGCGCCTTCGCTTGCCAGCCCGAACGCTTCTCGATGGCGCTCTTAGCGGCGCGAACCGCCGGGTGCCTGAAGACGCCCACGGGCCTTGCGCGCCGACTGCCGCTGCGGGCGGACGCGCGCGCTGCCGGGGGATGAGAGGTGGGCGTGCGCCTGCTCGCCACGAGGCACGCCTTCTTCACGCAAGTCACGTAGTTGCTGAAGTTGCCGGCGCACCTGAAGGTCGTGGACCACAGAAGCAGCCCCTCGAGGGTGGGCGGCAGTTTTTTCCCACGCCGCTTTAAGACGCCCCTTGCGCAGTACGAAGGTCGATATCGGCGCGATGCTCCTCCTCCTCCTCCTCCTCCTCCTCCTCCTCCTCCTCCTCCTCCTCCTCCTCCTCCCCCTCCTCCTCCTCCCCCCTCATCCTCTTCCTCCTCCTCCTCTTCCTCCTCCTCCTCCTCCTCCTCCTTCCTCCTCCCTCCTCCTTCTCCTCCTTCTACTCCTTCTCCCTTCCTCCTCCCTTCCTCCTCCTCCTCCTCCTCCTCATCTTCCTCCTTCCTCTCCTCCTCCTCCTCCTCCTCCTCCTCCCCCCTCCCTCCTCCCTCCTCCTCCTCCTTCTCCTTCCTCCTTTCTCCTCCCTCATCCTCATCCCTCCTGCCTCCTCACTCCTCCTCTTCCTCCTCCTCCTTCTTCTCCTCGTCCTCCCTCCTCCTCCTCCTCCTCGTCCTCCCTCCTCCTCCTCTCCCCCCTCCCCCTTCTCCTCCCTCCTCCTCCTCCCTTCCTCCTCCTCCTCCACCTCCTTCCTTCCACCTCCCTCCTCCCTCGTCCTCCCTCCTCCCTCCTCCCTCCTCCCTCTTCCTTCTCCCTCCTCCTCCTCCCTCCCTCCCTTCTCCTCCGAGGCGGTACGATCGGAATGAGTATGGAACGAGTGGTCGGCGGCGAGGGAGGGGGGACTCGAGAGGGACAGGGCCTTTTCGGAAGGCTCGGATGTCCCGCCCAGCCTTCTGAGAAATTTTTAAGTCTTCCCGAAGACACAGAAGGTTGCCCCGCCGCCTTCTGAGAAGGCCTTCTCCTTCTCATTACCCCCCCTCGCTCGCCGCCGAAATGGGTACGAAGATCGTCACCAGTTCCTCTCCGTTTTGGCAGCATTCGCTGCCGGCGTTGCCGCTGGCATGTTTCATGTGAGACAGGAGGCCGCGGCAGGTGTCGGTGTTGGACAAGAGTTGTTGTTGGGTATCGTGCACATTTTTGTTGTACCCATTTGGGGTGTCCAGACTATCTGCCCCATCCCTATCCAGGCGGCCTCCAGTTGGGGCCCTTGGGTTCTCCATCATTCGGGGGGCCCGAAAAGGTGCGGTGACCACTCCGTGTGGTGAGTCAGTTGGGGCTCCTGGGGGACCGCACGGTTTCGGAATGTGGGTCGTTCTCGGAGGATTTCTCGGGCGAATTGGGCTTCCAGAATCCTTAGACCGTGCGTGTATTGACCTTGCGATGAGGTTTCTTTTCGCAGGCGATTTTTTCCCCAATCCCCGAGTTCCGCCCGAAAAGTTGCCGCTCAGACAAACGGGTGAATCCTGGGAGACATCCTGAGGGGACTATTCGGACGCGCCTCTATCGAGGATGGACGCCCCCCCTTCGTATATCCCAGGGTTGGGCCCCAAAGTTTTGATCCACTCGAAATCCTCACGAAGCCTGGGAAAAGGGTCGACGCATCCCCTGTTATTGTTTGGGGGAATCCAAGGCCGCCGCGGGTTCCGTCACCGCACCGCCTTGGGCCCCCAAAGCATGGCCCCGCGGGGTCGGACTGGTTGTCGCCCGGGCGGCCCCCCGCCCTTCCTGGGTCGCAGAGGTGCCGCGTCGAAGGGCGGGATCAAGTACACCGACAAGGACGGGCGAGGGAGAGCTCGGCGGCGGAATCTGAATCTTGCCCTCGCCAATCCGCTCGCGCTTTCCGCATTTTTTGCGACAGACCTCTTCCGATCTAGGGAGTGGAGAGATCTTGGCGGAGTTGTCCCACACGTGCTCGGTTTCTTCATCCCTTTTTCCTTGGTATCGCTCGGACGTGTGCGTGCACTTGTTCTCGGCGGGAACTATGAGAGGAGCACCCTGGATCATCCTGCGGAAAACGCCGCGCACGAAACCGAACAGAACGCAGGGAATGGACGTCCGAGCGACGGGAAGTTCCGACTTGCCCAGAGCACGCCCCGCCCTCGAGGGGGCCGCTCCAGTGGCCGAGGCTGGCGCGTAGACGTCCGCTCCGCTCTCTGTTCCCTGGCCAGTCCGCGATTCGGGCAGCTCGGGGGGAGGACGCCCGCGTTGAGGCCTGCTCGAGCGCGGCGGGCCACCGAGAGTGATCAAGGAGGGACCAAAGATAGGGGAACAAAAAGTTGCATAAACATAACAACTCGGAGGTCCGCGCGGATTCGATCAGCGTCGGTTCAGTCTCGATTAGCGTCGATTCGTGTCGATCAGCGTCGGTCAGCGTCGATCCGCAAGAGCCAGCAAGATGGCATGGGAAGCTCCCATGAACTGGCACCGAACCTTCGATTTGCATGGGGCTGAGCGAGGGCACGAAGAGAAGCGCGCGTACGCACGTCCAGGGTCGGTATGCGCGAAGTTGGTTGATCTGGGATGTGGGGACGAACACAAAGGGGACTTGTTTGAACAGGGTTCGTTGCTGGTGTCGCCGCGGACGTGGATGTTCGTGACGGGCATTGCTTGCGCAACGGCGGCCCCTGGGGACTTGTTTGAACAGGGTTCGTTGCTGGTGTTGCCGCGGACGTGGATGTTCGTGACGGGTATTGATTGCCCAATGGCGGTCTCTTGCCTTTTTGAAACAATATTCGTTGTCGAGCACGGTCCTCATTCTTGCGGTTCTCATTTCCGGCGTGTGAAATCGCGCACCCGATGGATCTCCGTCTCGCGAACGTGCCGAATAGTGTGTCGGTGGTGGCGTGTAACAGGTCGATTAGGTGGATGTGTTACCGACACACCCTCATCCCCTTCATTCATGTCACCGTCTCAGGATTTCGAACATGTTTTTCTTGATGTGGTTGCATGGCGTCCATGTGAGCGCGAAGACATCGTGGTTGCTCGCGTGATTGGCCTCCAGTCTTCGCAACACTCATTCTGCACAACCCCGTGTGCCTCCCTGAGATCGAGACCATCCGCCATTCCATGTGTGTCCCACTGCAGACGGCCAAAGTCGATAATGATGATTATGGACTCTGGACGCGCAAACTCACCTCTAGTTCCATGACCATGGCTGCCTGGCGAAGAGTTTGTGATTGTTTGTTATAATTATTGTTCCCACTCGTCCACAGCTCATTATGTGGCCTCATGTGCCTTGATCGCTGTTTTGTTTACGCCGTCGGCTACAACAAATCTTCCCCACCGAAGGTGTTGATGACCTTTTCCGACACCGATGGAGGCAGACGAGCACGCATCTTGCCATGGCAGTAAGGAATTGCGTACGCATCGGGGTAGCGCTTGGCATGGTCTTTCGCGGATTGGCTGACGCCAGCATATGACGTGGTCTTGTTCGAAGCGTCCTCTGGACCGGAGATGGACATGTTGCGAGCGCACACGGCTCTCGGAGGAATGCGGCAGAACGTGGTAATGTATGGTCAGAGTTTGCACGTGCCCCGCCGTATAGTATGTGCACGTGGTACGTGGCAGCGGATGGCGTGGGCGTGGTTTCTCATTGAGCGTCCTCCCATTGTTGACGCCAAGCCAGATTTTGCAGAGGTTGTGCCATTACTGGTTGCAGCGAGAGCCAGTCGACATCGGTCTTTGATTTCTCCACCAACTACTGCAACATTCACGACCTCTACTGCGGGGAAGCAGAGGAGCCCCCGCGCACCCGCGCCCGCCTCGCCGCGTCCCAGTGCGCGTGTCCGAGCACAGGATACGGGAATCCAGCATGAAGTAGGGCGTGCCCCTCTACAGGAGGAATATTCAACAACAGTCAGAAATAGTCAGGGGGCGATTTTGTTCTACTATGTTTGACTTTGCTTGCATATGTTTTTGTTACTGTTTTCAGTGTTTCTCCCAAAATCCGCCCGTAGGAGGACATGGCCGACCTAAAGCTAGCTCACGGGATACATGGTTCGGCGGCGAGCCTGGGGGAAGTGAGAGGGGCAGGCATTCTCAGAAGGCGGCGGGCCTTCTCAGAAGTCTTCTCGCCTTCAGGGGAGGCGTCCCTGTCTTCGGAGAAGGTTCGGAAGACTTCTCAGAAGGCGTGAGGGCCGCTGAGAAGCCCCGCCGCCTTCTGAGAAGGCCTGCCCCCTCTCGCTTCCCCCCTGGGCTCGCCGCCGGATGCCTTGGTATCGCTCGGACGTGTGCACTTTTTCTCGGCGGGGATTATTATTAAGGAGCATCCTGGATCATCCTGCGAAAAAGCCACGCACGAAACCGACAAAAACACAGGGAATGGACGTACGAGCGACGGGGAGATGCTGACTGGCACGCTCCTGTGCTGCAGCTGGCGCCGCGCCTGGAGCGAGGCGCACTCGTCGCAGAGGGCGCGTCAGAGTTCGTTCGGGAAGCAGGGCGCATCTCGACTCCTGCCGTTCGATCCGCTTCGATTTCAGTGGCCTCCTCCTCTTCCTCCTCCTCCTCCTCGTTCTCCTCCTCCTCCTTCTCCTCCTCTCCTTCCTCCTCCTCCTCCTCCTCCTCCTCATCCTCCTCCTCCTCCTCCTCCTCCTCCTCCTCCTCTCCTTCCTCCTCCTCCCTCCTCCTCCTGCTCCTTCTCCTCCTCTCCTTCCTCCTTCCTCATCCCTCCTGCCTCCTCCCTCCTCCTCCTCCTCCTCCTCCTCCTCCTCCTCCTCCTCCTCCTCCTCCTCCTCCTCTCCCCTCCTCCCCCTCCTCCCCCTCCTCCTCCTCCTCCTCCTCCTCCTCCTCCTCCTCGTTCTCCTCCTCCTCCTCCTCCTCCTCCTCCTCCTCCTCCTCCTCCTCCTCCTCCTCCTCCTCCTCCTCCTCCTCTCCCCTCCTCCCCCTCCTCCTCCTCCTCCTCCTCCTCCTCCTCCTCCTCCTCCTCCTCCTCCTCCTCGTTCTCCTCCTCCCCCTCCTCCTCCTCCTCCTCCTCTCCTCCTCCTCCTCCTCCTCCTCCTCCGCCTCCTCCTCCTCCTCCTCTCTCCTCCTCCTCCTCCTCCTCCTCCTCCTCCTCCTCCTCCTCCTCCTCCTCCTCCTCCTCTCCTTAAGAAGAGAAAAGTCTGGGAACCCTAAAGGGGCCGCCCAGACGCAAAGATAGGCCGCGGTTCCGCGCGGCGCGGCCGCCGCGAGTCTGCGCGTCGAGCGAGGCGTGGGCACCAAGCCCTGGGCCTGGACGAGATTGCGTCCCGAGAGAAATCCACAGAATTCCTCCTCTCCTTTCTCCTCCCATTCCTCCTCCTCCTCCTCCTCCTCCTCCTCCTCCTCCTTTCGATTCCGATTCGATTCGGCTTCGGATTCCGATCTAGGCTTCGGTTTGTTAGTGGAGGCCTGCTAGCCTGCCGATGTCCGCCGATTCGACGTCTCCGGGCTCGGCTGCCGATTTCCGCCGATCCGATTCCTTTCGATCGCCGATCCGACCTGTCGATTCGATCCCGGGCCCTCCTGCCCCCTCCCCTCTCAGCATTCTTTGCCCCTCGGTCGCGGAAGGCCGGTATTCTTGGACTCCCAGATCCCGATCCACTTCTAGCGCCTTCCTGTTCCAAGACTCGGTCTGCTTCTGCTCTTGGCATCGCTCGGACGTGTGCATTTTTCCTTCGGCGAGGACCCTCGAGGAGCATCCTTGATGATTTGGCGAAAAAAGCCACGCACGAAACCGAAAAAAACACAGGGAATGGACGTCCGAGCGATGGCCAGCCCTGGAGGCGCTCGCGTACGCCGCGCGACGGCGCGGCGCGGGCGCGCCGAGTGACTCGGCCGCGATCGTTCCGCCGCACGCCGGAGGTCCGCCGGCAGCCGCGCGTGCGGCACCCTCTGCCGCGCGGCCGAGCGGCATCCGCGAGAGGCCGCCGCGGGCATGCCGCCGCGGCCACGAGGTCGCCGCAGGCATCCACGCATGCCGCACCCTCTGCTTCGGGTGTTGCTAGAAGTGCCCCTGGCCCAAGGTGCCCCCAGGATTTCCAGGGAGGCCTCCATGGCCTTCAGAGCGCCCCTCACCAGACTCGGAGGGCCCCAGGGGGCTTCAGAATGGAACGAAAACCTGGGGGCACCTTGGACCAGGGGCACCTTTAGCAACCCCCGATCTGTCGCTCGGCCGAGCGGCATCCGCGAGGTCGCCGCAGGCATGCTGGCCAGAACGGCGCGGGGCCCGTTGGCCGGTCTGCCGGGCGGCGTCAGGCCAGGGGTGCCAGGGCTGCGGACTTGTCGCTGCGGTCGGGGAGGAAGGGGAGCACGACGTCGAAGCAGAGAAGGAGGATTATAACGAGGAGGAACCTTGATAATGACGATGAGGAGAAGGAGGAGGACGACGACGACGACGAGGGCAAGAACGAGGACGACAACGACGAGCTTACTCCGCCGCAGACTTAGATGCTCCCTAGCTCCTGGCTCTTTTCAGGGCACTGTGTTCCTCCTTCTTGCCACCGTTTTCTGCATTGACGTCAACTCTGTGGTCGACCAATAATGCTTTCCTAGCAACGTGTTGCTGGGTCGAGCTGTGGCACGTGGTGTGGCGCAAGATTGCTGACTGGGGGAGGAGGGGTTGGACGCCCCTCTGCTCGTGAGAGAGAAGGGCGGCACGGCTGGCGTGCCAGAAGTGGGCCATGGACAGCCTGCTCCTTCCTCCTCCGCCTCCTCGCCGTCCTCCTCCTCCTCCTCCTCCTCCTCCTCCTCCTCCTCGTCCCCGTCCTCGTCCTCGTCCCTTCCCCCTCCTCGCCCTGGTCCCCCTTCTCCCCTCCTCCCCCTCCTCCACTCCTCCCTCCCCCCCCCCTCCGCTCCTCCCTCCTCCCTCCGCCCTGGTCCCCCTCCTCCTCCCCATCCTCCCTCCTCCCCTGCTGCCCTGCCGGTGCGCCCCCGGCTTCCCCTGCCCCAGGGCTGCCCGACCGTGAAGCACAGCTTCGCCGTCGAGGAGAAGAACATCAAGCCGTCCTCCGGCGCAGGCTCGGGCTCGGCGGGCCCCTCGGCCGTCGCCGCCGCCGCCCTCGGCGGCGTCGGCGCTGCCGCCGGCGCCGACGACGTCGCCGTCGCCGTCGACGTCGCCTTCGACGTTGCCGTCGGCTTGGCCGTCGTCGACGCATTGGTCGTCGCCGCCGTCGCCGTCAGCGTCGTCGTCGCCCTTCCGCCCGTCGTGGGGTTCGCCGACGGCGCCGTCATCTCTATCGCTCGAAGAAAGAATAACGGGATAAGCACAGACTTTAAGCGCTCCGCGCGGATCTCTTGGATCTGCGCTGGGCCCCCCGGCGGCGCCTCCGGCGCCGCCCCTGGCGCGCTCCGCGCGCCAGGATTCTAGCCCTGATCTCAGAAATCCGCGCGGACTTGTCAAAGTTTGTCTGTGCCGTTTGTTCTTTCCTGTAGTCATTTTTATCTCTCGGGGGTGGACAGACCTCCTACCCTGACACGTCGATTAGTGAATTGTCCGTTTTCGGTTCTCGAGAGGGCGCCGTTGCCGTTATTTTCCACGCTTGCGGCCGCCAGGTTTGGGCCTCAGGTCGTTTTCACTAAAGCACGTTTTACTAAAGGGGGGTCTGTCCATCCCCGAATATCTCTATCGTCGCCGTCCTGTCGATCGCCCGTGTCGCCGGTGCCATCGCCGTGGCCTCGGTCGTCGGCGTTGGCGTGGCGGCGTCGGCCTTGCTCGTCGTTGGCGCACACGGCGTCGCCCTGCCCGCTGGCGTTCAGTCGGGCATGTCCCTCTACAGGAGGAAGGGTCAGAATAATGGTTAAGATAGTCCGGGGGCGATCTGTGCTGCTCCTGTTCCCCAAGCAGTGCTTGCACTGAAGGGGCCCCAGCGGAAGTTGAAAGCTTTGGCGAGAGTTTCCCGCCGGTTTTGGTAGCAGGCTGGGTTACCGAGTTCCGGTTCCGGGTTCCCGAGTTCCCGGTTATTGGTTCCAGTCCGATTTCGTTATGGGTTCCCGGGTTCCCGAGTTCCCGGTCGATCTCTTCAGCGAAAACCATCCATTGGTTGGGGCTTTTTTTTGGTGTAATTTGCTTTGTTTGAGTATCGTTTGACCATTTGCTATTTTCGTGTATAGCCAGGATCCCAGGTAAGGGGACCAGGTTAGCAGTAGGGCCCCGGAGCTTTTAAATTGACCAGAATCATTAAACCAGGTCTGCCCTAGCTGGTGTTTTTCGGGTTACGTACGGCAATTCCGGTCAGTGGAACGGGGCGGGGGGGCGTCCCCCAGTACACACCACTAAACCAGGTCCCAAGGAGCCCAGTTCTGCCCACGCCCGATACTTGTCTTCCAAGATCCGCCTGCAGGACGACATGTCGTCTGACCTGCAGCTGGCGGCGGACCACTGGGCCGCCGTCGGCTCGCGCGCGGCTCCCCTGAGAGGGCCTCGGGCCATGACTTGGAGGGCAAAGACTATGCTTGCTCCTAGACCCAGAGATCCAACGTACTGAACAAATGAAGACGGAGGTTTTTCGTACTTTTCGGCCTCGAAGGGCCCTCGCCGGGCCCCGGGACCGTCAAAAATCGACTCAGGATGAAAAACTGGTCTTGGGGAATCTGTCGAGACTTCCAGGGACCCCGTACTGAAAAAATCACGACATCGGATCTTTGGGGAAGGCCATTACCTCGGGCCTATGACGAGTCCCATTCTCACCTTCTAGCCTAAGGCGTCTTTAGACGCACAGGGTGCCGTTACGTGTGTAGACACATTTGGGGTGGATAGGCCTATAGACAATACGGCCGTTGCGCCTGGCGCAGTATAGGGTCGGAGAAAGGGTAGATCCGTCTACGGTGTTGGATGGCCGTCGGTCCATCCTGCCACCGTGCCTGGTTTGTGGGTTTTAGGTGTCTTAGGATATTCGTTGGGATGTCGCGGGAGGTCGCTCGGGGGCTTATTGGGGGCCGTTTTGAGGCCTCTTGGGGGCCGTTTGGGGGCTGGGGGGCGTCTTTTGGGCCTCTGGGAGGTCCTGTGGGTATCTTGGTGGCCTCATGAGGCCTCCTTGGGACCTCCTGGCTGCCTTGAAGTTGGGACGGAACACTAGGATTTCGTTTAGTGTTAACCTTCTTGGGCCTTTCTTTGGGTTGTCTTTGGGCCATCTTGGGCCTCTGGGGCCGCCTGGGAGCCCTCTTGGGCAATTCCTGGGGGACTTGGAGCGTCGGGAGTTGGAAGAGTCGCCGACCCCCAAATCACTGAAAACCTATGGAAATCAGCGATTTTGGCCTCTAGGGGCCCTCTTGTGAAGGCTCTTGGGGCTCTCTTGCGGCGTCCTGCAAGCTGCTAGGGCCATCTTCAGACCATCTTGGGCATGTTGGTGCGATCGTTCGGCGACTCGGGGCCCTCTTGGACCATCTTGGGAGCATCTTGGGACCCTGTTGGCCCGTCTTGCCTTTCTTGGACTTGAAAAAGTCATGCGAGACTGTGCTTGGAACCCCAAGGGGGCACGCGAGAGAAGCCCGAGAAGATCTGGCAATTTGGGCTCCGTGCCACCTGGGGACGCCCCAGTGGTGCCTCAGGGATTGGGCACGGGACCTGAGGACACACCCACTCCGTGCCCAGCGGCACGGTGGCGGAGGTTCCCAGAGATCCGATGTCGTGAATTTTTCAATGCGGGGTCCCTGGAAGTCTCGACCCATTCCCCAGGACCGGTTTCTCATCCCGAGTCGTTTTTTGACGGTCCCGGGGCCCAACGAGGGCCCCTCGAGGCCGAAAAATACAAAAAACTCCGACTTGATTTCCAACCATCCTGTGGTGTTGGGTACTCGTTTTGAAGAGACGGTCCCCGCGTTCCTCTTCTCCTCCTCTTCCCCCTCCTCCTCTCCACCGCCCGCATGCGTCCCCCACACCTAATTTGGCACACCCCTCACACGTTTCGTGGCCTATAGGGAGGTCCACGGAAGGCCCCAGTGCCACCGCCCGCATGCGTCCCCCACACCCATTTTACCACACCCCTGACACGTTTCGTGGCCCCATAGGGAGCTCCACCGAAGACCCCAGTGCCATCGCCCGCATGCGTCCCCCACACCCACTTTGGTACACCCCTCACACGTTTCGTGGCCCCATAGGGAGCTCCACCGAAGGCCCCAGTGCCACCGCCCGTATGCGTCCCCCACGCTCAATTTGGCACACCCCTCACACGTTTCGTGACCCCATAGGGAGCCCCACCGAAGCCCCCAGTGGGACCGCCCACATGCGTCCCCCACATCCAATCCTGCATTTTCACACACCCCGTACAGCGCTTCGTGGCCCCACAAAGAGCTCCACCGAAGCCCCCAGTGGGACCACCCACGTGCATCCCCCACACCCAACTTGGCATTGTCACCGACCCAGTACAGCGCTTCGTGGCCCCAGAGGGAGCCCCACCGAAGCCCCAAGTGGGACCGCCCGCATGCGTCCCCCACACGCGATTTGGCATTGTCACCCACCCAGTACAGCGTTTCGTGGCCCCATAGGGAGCTCCACCGACGCCCCCAGTGGGACCGCCCGCATGCGTCCCCCACACGCGATTTGGCATTGTCACGCACCCACCCACGCGATTTGGCATTGGCATTGGCAATTCTTGCATTTTCGCAGACAAAATACAGCGCTTCGTGGCCCGAGAGGGAACCCTACCAAAGCCCCCAGTGGGGCCGCCCGCATGCGTCCCCCACACCCAGTTTGGCATGTTCATTCGCCCTTTACAACGCCTCGCGGCCCCGCTCCACCGAAGCCTCCAACGGGACCGCCCGCATGCGTCCCACACGCCGAATTTGGTATTTTCACCCACCCAGTGCAGCGCTTCGTGACCCCATAGGGAGCTTCACCGACGGCCCCAGTGCTACCGCCCGCATGCGTTCCCCCCCCACCCAGCGCAGCGCTTCGTGGCCCCATAGGGAGCTTCACCGAAGAAGATCTTCACAATTGCGGTACCCACAACTTCATATGGTTGGGTCCTTCGCCAGGATAATTTCAATGCGTTGGATCTCTGGGTATACAGCCCTCCTGCCCCTGACGCTGCAACTGGAGCCCTCCTGGGACGGAGCGGGACCGTCCGCCGAAACTCTCGGTTTAAGTCCGGCCTGTCCCTCTACAGGAGGAAAATTCAAAGTATCACGGCAACGCAACCTGACAGCGATGTGTAGGAGCATATTTGGAAGCGTTCCCTTTAAGATTCAGATGAGAATCCAGTTGTAGAATTCTGCTGTTCTCGCAGTCGTAGTCGCATTCGCGATGACAGTCGCAGTGGCAACGGCAGTCGCAGTCACAGCCTCAGCCTCAGCCTGCCTCAGCCTCAGCCTCAGCCTGCCTCAGCCTCAGCCTGCCTCAGCCTCAGCCTCAGCCTCAGCCTCAGCCTGCCTCAGCCTCAGCCTCAGCCTGCAGCCTCAGCCTCAGCCTCAGCCTCAGCCTCCAGCCAGCCTCAGCCTGCCTCAGCCTCAGCCTGCCTCAGCCTCAGCCTCAGCCTCAGCCTCAGCCTCCTCAGCCTCAGCCTGCCTCAGCCTCAGCCTCAGCCTCAGCCTGCAGCCTCAGCCTCAGCCCTCGGCCTCAGCATCAGCCTGCCTCAGCCTCAGCCTGCATCAGCCTCGGCCTCAGCCTCAGCCTGCCTCAGCATCAGCCTGCCTCAGCCTCAGCCTCAGCCTGCCTCAGCCTCAGCCTCAACCTGCTTCAGCCTCAGCCTCAGTCTGCCTTCAGCCTCGGCCTCAGCCTCAGCCTGCCTCAGCCTCAGCCTGCAGCCTCAGCCTCAGCCTCAGCCTCAGCCTGCCTCAGCAGCCTCAGCCTCAGCCTGCCTCAGCCTCAGCCTCAGCCTGCTTCGGCCTCATCAGTCTGCCTTCAGCCTCGGCCGCAGTCTCAGCCTGCCTCAGCATCCGCCTGCATCAGCCTCAGCCTCAGCCTCAGCCTGCCTCAGCATCAGCCTGCCTCAGCCTCAGCCCTCAGCCTCAGCCTCAGCCTCAGCCTCAGCCTCAGCCTCAGTCTGCCTTCAGCCTCGGCCTCAGCCTCAGCCTGCCTCAG